ACCACTGTCCCTCCTCTGGACATGTCCAAACCACTGTCCCTCCTCTGTACATGTCAAAACCACTGTCCCTCCTCTGAACATATCTAAACTATCTCAGTGTGTCCTCTCTAACTTTAAGTCCCAGTTGTTCAACTGTGCTGTACCTCTGATGAGCTCATTCCTGATGTTCTCCATCCTTGTCACTCCTAAGGAGAACCTCAACATCTTCATTTCTGCCAATTTCAGTCTCCTGTCTTTTTGTCCATGTCTCTGTCTCCAGCCCATACAACATAGCTGGTCTCACCACTGTCTTGTAAACTTTTCCTTTGACCTTTGCTGACACCTTTTTGTTGCAAATCACTCCTGAAACTTTCTTAGCTTTCCCACTTCCTGGTCCACAGCTTCTATGTCCTCATCTTCTTTCTCGTTCATTCTCTTCATTCATTAGCTTGTCAAAGTACAGGGTCAGGTTCGGTTTATTTGTTATATGTAAAATCAACACAAGGTAAATGGTAAATGGACTGTACTTAAATAGCGCCTTTCTATCTTCTTTCAAAATACTCAAAGTTCTTTACACTACAATCTGTGTCCCCACCCATTCATTCAGCACTCTACTAGATCTCTACAAAGCTAATTGAACAAATCATTCTAAAGAGACTAATCATTGCTTTAGATCACATTCATACACTGATGGGACACACATCAGAGGCAACGAGGGGTTCAGTGTCTTGCCCAGGGACATTTCAACATGTGACTGCTGGTGGATTTGATTCTTGCATTGGAGGATGACTGCTCTAACCACTCAGCCACAGCCGCCCACAATAGGTCAACAATACAATGAAATGCTCAGGATGAGAAGAATTGTCTCAACATGCCCCCAAAAAAAACAACAGCAAATATCAAAGCATGCAGCAAAAATACAGAAACAAGGTGCCAAAAGAGAAAAATAAATAAATCTACAGCAGCATGGTCCAGTTGGCAGAGTGGTTCTGATGACAGTGAGGTTCTGTTAACAACATGGTCCAGTTAGCAACATGGTCCAGTTAGCAACATGTTCCAGTTAGCAGCATGGTACTGTTAGTGGCGTGGTCTTGTTAGCAGGTCCCTTCAGCAGCATGATAATAATAAAGACCGCAGCAGCTGCCTCCCAGACTGCCCTCCAGAACCGGGTCCGGCAGATGGAGAACATCCAGGTTTCCTTGCGGAACCAAACGTGTCCGTAGAGTTAGGTCCGTGCAGGTAGGTGGAGGATCATGGAGCCAACCGCCATGACAGGCCTGAGCCCGAGGCTGGAAGGACTGAACCAGGATGGTACGATGGCCAGGCATCGACACAGAAAACTTCACAAGTGTGTCGTGGTCATACCCGTACTGTGTGTGTACAGTGTAGGCGACAAAACAAAAAAGTTAAGACAAAAACAACACGAACAAAAAAGATTGAGTCGAAGAGGAGCTCCCATCAGTGCTTCCATTCTGTAGTGCACGTGACGTCAGTACACAAAGTACTCCTTCTATCTTCCCATCATCACCATTTCCATCTCTAACAAGCCTGAGCAGCTTGTAATCAAAGTAACTGATTGGATTCATCAGGTTTCATCAGCTGAGGCCATCAGAACATCATTAGTAACTTTCACCAGTGCTGTTTCTAACATATATCTGTATAGCACATATGAGCTGCACGCTGTTTGTACCAGCAGTTTTTGTGCGGAGGTGGTGGGGGAATGGTCAGCATCAGGGCATGGGCAGGGCAGCGTGAGCGCAGCATTTAGCTTTTTAGCTAGCGCGCCTGTATTATGTTACACCAGTGGTGCCGATGGGTGGGGGGGTGCGCGGTTTTGTTCAGGAAGCGGAGTGGTCGGTTCTGTTAGGGTTTGTATAATTGTAGGGGAACACTATGTGTGTGTGTGTATATGTA